ACTTCTTCCTAAATTTGCATCACTTGGATCTGTGTAGGTCTTCTGCCGTATCCACTTAAGGAAATCCTGTATAATCTTCAACTACTCAAGGGAGACATGAGAGCAGTGAGTAAGGAAAAGAATGCGTGGTCCGAAACAGATCCAGACTACTGGCGTGTGAAGAAAAAATAGGACTTGTCACCATCTGAGTCAGGCCTTGGGTAATAGCGAACGCACCACGACATGCTGCATTTGTCTTTTTTGAGCCCAACCAGAACTTATTATCAGCATTCAAAGCACCGAGGAGGACTACCTCTGCAGCAGGGTGATTGACGTTTAGAAAGTCGATCTTGACAGCGAGGTGTTCAAGCAGATCATCCCAGTTATGGTCCGAGGGAGAGCGACAGATGTAGTAAATATGGGTGCTGATTCTTCCGACCTGATTTCAAAGAAACGTCTCTGAAGCGGGAAAGACTTCTGCGGACAAAGGCCAGAACTCCCCCACTCTTCCTCAGATTAGAATGCACCTCGTAATTTGGAAAGCTAAGACAGTAAGCCAGGGCAGAATCGGATATATTGTTCTCCGCCAAGAAAAGCATGGACTCACGATTAGACTGCAGATGGCGGTGATGGTAAACAACATCAATGTCGCTGTTAATCCCACAAACGTTTGTGAAGGAGATTTAATCGTCGATGCTGTCCTCTCGAGGCTAGCCTTCACCAGGACGTCTCTAGAATCGAGTAAACTTACATCTTGAATTCTTAGAATTCGAGGAAACCATTTTCATTTATTTCTTTGGTTCGAAGGGAAATAGAAGGAAAACCTAATGCCTAGCTCAAATGTGGAGACAATTGAAGACCCTGGAAAAATCTAGCGTGTGGTCGACTGATCCTTGTCTAGCACCTTCTTTTTGCTTTTGAATGATGTTAAAACTCTTTTAGGGGTCTTGGTAGGAACATAAAATGTACCCAGATAAATGTACATGTCATGGGGTACTGGTACATAAAATAGGCCACCTAATTAAGTAATTTTAGAATACCGCGCGATAGTCGAAATCCTGAACTGGTGTATTCGTTCATTGTAGTATTCACATTAACTTCGTTACTGCATTTGCCTGGTTGCCATTCATTGTACCAGTTTTGTTTTCATTTGCTTGAGTATACACGTCGTCTTTTCTGTGTTTGTAAAGATGTCGCAGCATTCAGAATTGTTTTACAAGAAACTATGACAGTGTGGATAAGAAAAAACCATGGAATACAAATGAGTTACAGGAGGCAAGTTAATTTTTATAAGTTTGTGAACCTAACCTAAATTATATCGTACATAGGCCTGCTCAACAGCAGATTCCATTGTTGCCGGATTTTGTATGTAAATAAAATACTTGATTAAAACAAATTAATATATTATTCATCCACACTGGAGTTATTTATATCAATAATACACGTCCTAGATGCGATTTTCGCCATCAGGATTATATCCACTCTCATTTGGTTTGAAAAACGTGCATCGTGTATTGTTGCGAAATTGTAAATATGTTTTAACACTAGAAAATAAAATGAAATCAGTTAGTTGATAAAAAAAGTCATCTGTTTGTATTGCAGGTTGCTGCAGATATTTTACTGGCAAAAAGAGTTCAGGAGAAAAAAAAACTATCATTGTATGACCTAGTCGATGTTGCAGGCAGACAGATTGTCGTCAAAAAAGACAAAAACAATGAAAGCAATCATATTATTTTGGTTGCATATGAAGACGTATTTAATATTGTTTATGAAGCACATATAACTATAGGTCATGGTGGTCGAGATAAGCTAATGTACGCGTTGAAAACAAAGTATAACATCGGAAGATATGTGGTAGAAACACTTATTGAAACATGTGAAGTCTGTCCGAAAAAGAACAAATCGCACTCTAATTTGACAATAAAACCTATCATTTCAACGAATTTCAAGTCTAGGGGACAAGTATACCTGATCGACTTCCAATCATGTCCAGACAATGAATAGCGCTGGTTGCTTAATTATCAAGATCATTTAACCAAATTTTTATTCTCACGTCCCCTAAAAACCAAAACAGCAGTAGAGGTTGCAAAGGAATTACTAAAAATATTTTTGGAAATTGGGTCACCGAGTATACTTCAATGTGGTAATGGACATGAATTTACTGCGAAGATAATCTCAGAAATGGTTAAAATGTGGCCTTCATTGAAAATACTTCATGATCGTCCCAGGCATCCACAGGCACAGGGAAGTATTGAGCGAAGTAACCAGGATCTGTAAAACATGTTAAGGGCATGGATGTATGATCATAAATCAAAAAACTCATTGGGTTGTTATTTCGTCCAGTTTCAGAAAAACTGTTCATATCATAAAGTTATTGGACGTACACCATGCAAAGCTTTATTTGGAGTTGACCCGAAGATTAGTTTTGGTGCTGAGAGTATTCCTAAGGATTTGTTGGACACTATCGAAAGTGAAGATGATGTTACTCTTCTTTCGGAAGGAAAGGCGAACGAATCTGTAGGTGTACCAGAGCAGTCCAGTAATGATGTCAGAATTTCCGACTTACATGAGAGTGGATTCAATATAAAATGAACATACGGAAAACACAATAGAACCAACCGAAGGTGATCTTCATCTAAGTTCTGAAAGAAGCGACCCTGAAAATCCGTGTGGTGAAGAAGAACCGAGGGAAGAACTTAATTTATGTGTTACATGCCCTGAAAATGGAGGTAAAAATGGATATATATTATGTATGAATGAAACATCAATGGAACAAGGCAGCTGAAAATATGCTGACAAATACGGCAAAAAAATGACCGCCTCTCAATATTGGCTCATGTGTTCTTTTGCATGCAAAAATTGATAGAGGTCCACCTGATATGAAAAATTTGATGTGTGTTGTCACATATTATAAAAATGGAGTATACCAAGTAGGTTGTATAGCAGGTCACATCAAATCTTGGTTCAACCGTCCTAATTTATTGGGAAGCAAAAGAAACTTTTTACAAATAAAAGCTATTCATGAAAAAGTTTTATCAAGACGTAAAGCTGTGCAGTCACTTTCGCTAGACGGAGGCCAAGGACATTTTAAGTGTTCCTGTAAACCAGCGAAAAAGCAGTGTTTAACCAATAGATGAGTTTGTAGTTCAAGATGCCATAGAACATGCGCTAACAAATAATGTTTGAAATAATATAAAATTTTTTAAGGGTACTTATTGTTTTATATTCCTTTCGATAGCATTAGGATATTTCTGATTGATTTAATACATCAATGATTAATGTCCACAATAATTTAACCCTTTACCGCATCATGTGCCATATATGACCCAAACTACAAAAATAAAAAAATATTGTCTCAAATTAAGTTGTATTCCTTTACTGCATACTATGCCATATTTGGAACGCACCCGCTTACACACAGCAAAACGCCCACATCGATAGTAGTGCTCAATTACGAGTTATTTCGTGTCAGCAGCTGATGGATCCGTTTTGTTTGCAAGTTTTTTGTCTTCTAAAATTAGAAAATCCCCAAAATAAAATTATTGACATTACGAGTGAAGTGTAAACTATGTGATAAGGTAAGTTGTTTTTCATTTGATGTTAATTTAGGAAGTTATGTGTACGATTTTGTGCTTGTGCCATATATGGAACAATATGCAATTATATTTACATTGGTTGCTTTTATTTCCAGTTATGGACCCAAACAAATTTTATGGTACTCTACAATATGCAGCTGATATAGAGTCCGATGAGAGTGACGATCCAGATTTATCTGGCGACGATGCTGAAAGTGGTGTTGGATATGTGTTGCGTAAATGCTTGGTTGTTGTGGAGACGCAGCAATAAAGAATTTGATCTACCCCTTAAAGACTTCAAGCTGGCCATCGCTGATTCTTTATGCAATCTTAATAGAGAACATAAAAGAAGAGTAGGAAGACCTTCAGCAGAGGTTCAGACATTATATGCCATGAAAAAGAAACGTGGACCTACCAATGAAATTCCTCAACAAGAGGTACGTCTTGATGGTATGGACCATTTACCACAATGGAGTGAACAACAAAGATCAAGATGCAAGTTTCCATTGTGTCAATCTAAATCCCTTGTGTCTTGTATGAAATGCAAAGTTTCCTTGTGTTTTAATAAAGAGCGAAATTGTTTTTTGAGGTTCCACACTGAATAAAGGACAATGTTGTTGCATAATGTTCCATATATGTCACTTGCCATTTTTTTCAAAATAAATAAAGTATGTATTGTACAAACATTTTTTTGGTATTTTTTACATAAATAAAGTATATTTCTCCATTCCTGCGATTTTTTTCGATGAAAACAAAAAATTCATGCAGTAATTGTTTATTGAATTCACTCTCATGTAAGTCGGAAATTCTGACATCATTACTGGACTGCTCTGGTACACCTACAGATTCGTTCGCCTTTCCTTCCAACAGAAGAGTAACATCATCTTCACTTTCGATAGTGTCCAACAAATCCTTAGGAATACTCTCAGCACCAAAACTAATCTTCGGGTCAACTCCAAATAAAGCTTTGCATGGTGTACGTCCAATAACTTTATGATATGAACAGTTTTTCTGAAACTGGACGAAATAACAACCCAATGAGTTTTTTGATTTATGATCATACATCCATGCCCTTAACATGTTTTCCAGATCCAATAATGTAATAATAAAGATTTCGTTTTAATATATTATTCTTTCCTTTTAGATTAATTCATGCTTGATTATTTTTCTTTTGATATTATTGATAAAGTAGTACCTTGTTATATTACATACTTCATTGGAGCAACACTGTATTGATTACAGCGGTTGACTAAAATAGGAGAATGCAGTAACGAAGTTTATGTGGTTGTTACGGTGTTTGACTGAAATTGTTCAGTCATTACAGGGAATGACTGAAATGCTTAAAAACGTTGTAATAATCAAACTGCGGTCTTTGTAAGCAAAACGGGGACTGACTAGGCACTTCAGGGAATGACGGATTTCAGCGTTTGAGGCCGACATATATAAGGTTACATTAACTCTTGCGAACGGTCATAATTGGAGTTTTCTTATAGAAATTGATAAAAAGTAAACAAAAAACACCAAATTGTTTCAAATTTGTCATAAACATATTATAACAGAGTCTGTAGCATATACTTTTCATTGAATGTTATAAGCCTGTTGAATTTTCTGTTATTAAGTTGATGTATTGTTGGTGTACCTTATTTGTACCACCGAACCTCAATAGTTGTTTCTGTTTCCATGGAGTAAAAATGGATTGATTGCCTTTCAAGTTAGTAGATATGACCTACTGCAGCAACTCAAAAAAAAGGATTCGGACCGGTTTGATGTGTACCGTTTGCAAGGTGCCTCTATGTTTATAAAAAAATAAATCATATTTTCAGCATTTTCATAATCAACAGTAATTTACATAGATATACACTGGTACATTATTCGTGCCACCTGAATTTTTTGAAACTATACAAGAAAAGTACAAAGAAAAACTTTTTCACTAGTTTTCTTATTACTATCCTTCAAGTAGTAACCTGTATAAGTTGAAAAAGTAAATAAAAAATGTGTGCCCTCTAGGGTTTTTTACAAACCGACTTTACTTGTTGCCCCTGAAAGAGTTAAATAGGCCTTATGTTGTTGAGAATATATGCAGCTAAATAAGTAGAAAACGTGACATTATAATTAAATAGTTAATTATATTATTAATAAAACTTAATACTTTGTTTTTTACCAAGTATTACCCAATGCGTCGCCAGCCAATGGCACAGGGGCGGGATGGGGGTCAAGTTCATATGATGACTGAGAAATGTATAAATTGTAGGTAAAGCCAATACCACATCAAATTTGACACGTGTAGTATGGTGATTGTGATAAGAACAGTATAAAGTCCAATGTGTGAATCTCCACGAGCTCTTGGCTGTCGGTTAATGAAACTTAAATTAAATTGTGTTATTATCTTAATTATAACTATTATAACTAATACTAGGAATGGAAATGGTGAATTCGTTCGAGTTAAGACGGGCGGGAATGATCGATCAAGCACGTTAAGTGAGTGTACTTATGAATTTTATTGATTTGCATTTCACTACATTTTTCAGGGTCTCTAGGGGGGAGGGCAACTAACCCCCGCTCCCGCCCTTGGCGACGCCCTTGGTATCACCCACATAATTAATAGTTCAAACAAAACAGCGCCTCATGGTGGAAAAACGTTCATCGAGAGTCAAATGCGTGTTAATTGAACAAAGATTCAACGAGTCGAAAGTGTTCTTTAAAGTGACAAATTAGTGCCGGAACGGCATTTCAATATTCACAGATCAGCTAGCAACAACACGGGATATTTCTACACGATGTCATATATGATGAGAACCTAGCTTGCTGCATTTCCTAAACCCCGTTGTGTAATATCAACAATTTTAGACGTGAAAAGAACGGTATTTGTTACATAACTGATGAAATAACAATTTTAGTTGTTAATTCGTATTCTTATTTTCTTTTATGAGCAATATACAGTTTAAATTTCTATATCTGCTGCAGTATTCCACTCCTTCTTATCATGATTTTAATAAATATTCCCATATCTTTTAAGAAACAATAATCGCAATCTTAATCCTTGCTTGACACAGTTCTATGGTATCACACACTTGACATACTGAAGTATTTTGGATTTAGGATAATGCCGCTTTACATATTGTGCTTTGTTCTTTGAGTCTTTTTATTCGATACACATATAATAGCGTCTACTGTGGTAATGATAAATCCATATAAGGTATAAGGTTGCAACCAAACGTGTATTCAAATATTTCAGCTCAATTTGTTAAGGCTAGCCGGCCTTTCAATTTCAGGATTGGTCCCATACATATATACGTACTATCAAGTCAGGTTGCAACCTCCGACGATTTTGTTTTGCTACTACTCTTTTCTTTTAAAGCTCGGTGCAGTGGACTAAATGTACAACACGGTTGTGATGAGTTTCCACCCAAAAGCATTTAAATTAAAAATAGTAAAAAGATCGAGGATCAAGAAATCATTTGAGGCTCAAAGGAGTTCACAAACGAGCATTCGACCTTGCTCCGCCATATCTACTGAACGCTTTTGTGGTACGGGCTTATGTCAACTATGTAGATCTTGAAGACTAATAATTTCAACTTTATTCAAAGAGTACAGCAAACAGTTATCCTGTAATATTTAAATGATTAAATTCAATTGGGGCTTTCACAGGAAGCGTAGTGGCAGCGCCGGCTTAGTGTTATCAAGTGAAAATTGTAAAAAAATTCAATAGGTATACCAATACAAATAATTTTATTGATACCTACCTATAACAAACATTAAAAAACCATGTAGACACGTAACTTTTTATAAGAACTTATAAAGAGGTCATACAGTATCTTGCTATCTATTTTTTTTCTGTATAAAAATGTATGTAACAAATTAATATATGTTACTGATGCATAAAGGTATTATTTAAAATCAATTTGTTTTGATAAAAGAAAGTACAAGTCTCTTCATTTGAAGCTCTAAAGAGATTTTAGTTTGACAATTAATTAAGTTTTGAACTATTCAAAACCTTAGCAATTGTATATTGCCTTCTTCAGAAGTGGTAACTTCTTAAACATAATTGGTTCTATCTATAATGATTTACTTATTTGATTTATATTGGTAGAAGCATCAATATATGTATAGATAAACCATTCTATATAATAAAATGATCAAGTAAGATCGGTGTCACAGGAGAATGTTTAGCAAATATACTTAATATTAAAAATAAAGCGCTCTAATACAATGGATTTCCTACCGACAAGCGAGACAGTTGTTACCGAGCGACGACATGTGGAACGGCATACAAAATTCGATCCCGAAGTGAGCCTCGAGTTATACTCGTAGTATCATGGGCAGGCGTTATCAAGCCAGTATTGGCAGTTATGCTTGTTATGAAAATCGGCACAAAAGTTAAGGTGCTAGAAGCATCGTCTAGACTTGGTCTTAGGTAGGACAATGAACAAAAACTGCGCAACTATCCTATATCCAGGATATAAGGTTTACCGAAATAAGACAGGAAAGTGCCATGTGATCCCAGAATCGACCAGTGCGAGAGTGTAACAGCAGGTTGTCTGATGACACTGAATCCAGTTTGACAGCTATGCCACTATGGATAAAAGCTATATCGCTAGATTGTAGGTTTATCGTATCTACTATACGGCCGCATCCAGCGGCTATAGCGCCTAACCAATAATAATAAGACGTTCTACTCGTCATTCGACAAACTAACAAGCTAGTGATATAGCTTTCACCCGTACTGACATGGCTGTTAAATGTGAACTGGGATACAGTTTCATGAGATAACCTGCTGTGTCACTCTCGCACTGGTCGGTTCTGGGATTAGATGGTACTTTTTCCTATCTTATTTCGGTAAAACATAATATCAGCCTGTATCACCAAAATTATCAATACATTCATAGATAAGCAACATATTATGACTGAGGAGCAGCAGGACTGTCGTAGAGGAAAGGATGTAAAGAGGAACTCATAGATTCCATAATTCTCAATGAAGCTAAAAGAAAGAACAAGAAACTTTCATGCTGCTACATCCATTACCAAAAAGCATATGACTCTGATCCGCATTAATGGTTAATTAAACTCCTGCATATCTACAAGTGCACCAGACGTGATAGACGTTTTACGCCATCTAATGGAAAAATGGAGAAGAACAAGTAAAGAATCGACCATAACAACGCCAGAAATTAAAATTAACCAAGTAATTTACCTGGCTGACTGTTTAAGCCCATTGTGGTTCTGTCTTGCTCTAAACCCTATTTCCAACAGCTCAACGGGTCAGGAATATGATATTGCCTAGAAAATGCACATACCAAGCATACTATATCTCCACCAGCTTTACATGGATGACTTAGTACTGTATGCGGCATCCCAGGTTAAGCTGAAAGAGCTCATTATTCTTGTGGGAAGGTTTTCGAAAGATATCAACATGATATTCGGCCTGGACAAATGTAACATTATGAACATAGTAAAAGGGTGGTGCCAGAATGGCGATGTACAACTAGTGGAGCAAGGTGTCATAGAGTCTAAGAATGATGATGACGTATACAGGTATCTACCTTACCAACAAGCTAAAACGATTGAACGCGCTATGATTAAACAGAACCTTTTTAAAGAATACTTAAACCGACTTAATAAATTATGTCATACTGAGATCAATAGTAAAAACCTTTTTAAGACACTAAACACTTCACCGTACTAGTAAAGACGTACTCGTTTCGAGTAATATCATGGACAGAAACAGATTTAGAGAACATTGCATCAAGCACAAGAACGACCCTAGCAAAGCATAGAAAACACCACCCTAAGTCCAGCACCCTAAAAATTTCATCACCAAGAGAGGCAGGAGGAAGATGACTTATAGACATCAAAAGCATGCACAATAGGTAAATTAAACTAATACGAGAATATTTCCATCAAATAAAACAAACATATTCTCTACATCAGAATGTGTGCTTGGCAGATCGGTCTTATACACCGTTAAATCTGGTGGGCAAGCCAATGATAAGATAGTCAGCATCGAAGAGAAACATCAAGAATGGCGAACCAAAGCCCTTATTGGGAGGCATTCGCATGATCAGGATCAACCTCGTGTCGATAAAAAAGCGTCGAATGCATGGTTGGAAGTGGGGACTCCGGAAAATGAGGGCTTTAAAATGGCCATAGGGCCAAGTTGTGTGCACAAAAAATTATCTGAAACATATTGTCAAGGACCCAACTGTGACAGAGATAGGTGTAGAAAGTGCAAAGAAAACTTACAGATAATCCAACATATCACGGCGGCAGGCAGCTCACTGGCCCAAAATGACTATTTATATCGCCACAACCAAGTAGCTGCCATGATCCATCAGGATACGTGCTACAGCTTAGGATTGGAAGATAGTACGCCAAAGATATCATATTACAAGTACAAGCCACCTGCAGTAATAAACAAACAAACTGATACACTATCTACTGTGACAGATTAATAAATTATAACCGATCGAAATGTTCCGTGCAATAGACCCGACTCAGTACTGAGGGATAAACATAAGAGAGAAGCCTATATTATCGATGTTGCTATACCTAACACACATAACCTATTAAAAACTGAAAAGAAGCGAAAGTATACAGATGAACTAAATATTTTTAAGCTACTACAGAAACCTGTTATACTGAACACCACCCGAATAGTGCGACGATTTCTGAGCCAAGAACAGACGAGAGTGCTTGGTGGGAACCACCAATTCGCAATTCGCTTTAATCAGGAAAAAAACTTGAGAAAAGAGAGAGAAACAATAATACATGCCTTTATTCGATTTTTTTACAAATACATACTTATTTTGGGTAGGGTGAGGTACTAAAAATTTGAAATGAAAGAATCGGAATAGACCTTATATAT